AACAACGCTTTCATAATAATAATAATAATAATAATAATAATAATAATAATAATAATAATAATAATAATTGCACTTTCTTCACCTGGAAAGTTACACAGTGCACCTTTAACCTGCCGCTACAGTCAATATTTTGTGGTGTTGAACCAGGACTAAACCAGGTCTAAACCAGATCTATTCTGACCCTCTGCCGAGTCTGTGATTCTCTGGTGGAATTTGCTGTGTTAATGTTAGACTGCAGATTTGTTGTCCTGGTTTAGTCCTGCTTTAGTCCTGGTTTATTCCTGGTTTAGACCTGATTTAGTCCTGGTTTAGTCCTGGTTTACTGATTTAGTCCTGGTTTAGTCCTGGTTTAGACCTGATTTAGTCCTGGTTTTCTTTATCAAAAGAAATAAACTACAGTCAAGTGTTTTTTATTTCATATGATTTATTTTTATTTTTATTTCTGACACACATGGGGAGGGCACCTGACACACATTAAGGCGTGTCTGTGTGTGTGTGTGTGTGTGTGTGTTGTGTGTGTGTGTTCTGTGTTGTGTGTGTGTGTGTTGTGTGTGTGTGTGTTGTGTGTGTGTGTGTGTGTGTGTGTGTGTGTGTGTGTGTGTGTGTGTGTGTGTGTGTGTGTGTGTGTGTGTGTGTGTGTGTGTGTGTGTGGTGTGTGTGTGTGTGTGTGTGTGTGTGTGTGTGTGTGTGTGTGTGTGTTGTGTGTTGTGTGTGTGTGTGTGTGTGTGTGTGTGTGTGTGTGTCGTGTGTTTGTGTGTGTGTGTGTTGTGTGTGTGTGTGTGTGTGTGTGTGTGTGTGTGTGTTGTGTGTGTGTGTGTGTGTGTGTGTGTGTGTGTGTGTGTGTGTGTGTGTGTGTGTGTGTGTGTGTGTGTTGTGTGTGTGTGTTCTGTGTGTGTGTGTGTGTGTGTGTGTGTGTGTGTGTGTGTGTGTGTGTGTGTGTGTGTGTGTGTGTGTGTGTGTGTGTGTGTGTGTGTGTGTGTGTGTGTGTGTGTGTGTGTGTGTGTGTGTGTGTGTTCTGTGTGTGTGTGTTTGTGTGTGTGTGTGTGTTGTGTGTGTGTGTGTGTGTGTGTGTGTGTGTGTGTGTGTGTGTGTTGTGTGTGTGTGTGTTGTGTGTTGTGTGTGTGTGTTGTGTGTTGCAGGAATCGCTCTGAGTGCGTTGCCCATGTACCTCGGGGAAATCTCTCCCAAACACATGAGAGGATTCATCGGACAATTCAACTCCATCCTCATCTGTCTGGGAGTGTTCACCGGGCAGGTGCTGGGCCTGCCGGAGCTGCTCGGACAGGTGAGTCTGACGGGGGGACAGGTGCTGGGCCTGCCGGAGCTGCTCGGACAGGTGAGTCTGACGGGGGGACAGGTGCTGGGCCTGCCGGAGCTGCTCGGACAGGTGAGAGTGACTTATAAACCTGTTCTTTTCACAGATGAAAAAATTAAACATTTCTAGGCGACGCTTAAAGCTCAATTTGGATTTTTTCTGAGGTCGTTCACATTTCCAGTTAAATGTGACTTGTACGTGATCTCCAGTGTGAACTCTAAACGCCCCAAACGTGTTCCAAAAGTGTTCCAAAAGTGTTCCAAAAGTGTTACAAACGTGTTCCAAACGTGTTACAAACGTGTTCCAAACGTGTTACAAACGTGTTACAAAAGTGTTACAAACGTGTTACAAAAGTGTTACAAACGTGTTACAAACGTGTTACAAAAGTGTTACAAACGTGTTACAAACGTGTTACAAACATGTTCCAAACATGTTACAAAAAGTGTTCCAAAAGTGTTCCAAAAGTGTTCCAAACGTGTTACAAAAAGTGTTACAAAAGTGTTCCAAAAGTGTTCCAAACGTGTTACAAAAGTGTTACAAAAGTGTTACAAAAGTGTTCCAAACAGTGTTCCAAACGTGTTCCAAAAAGTGTTCCAAAAGTGTTCCAAACGTGTTCCAAACGTGTTCCAAAAGTGTTCCAAAAAGTGTTCCAAAAGTGTTCCAAAAGTGTTCCAAAAAAACGTGTTCCAAAAGTGTTCCAAACAAACGTGTTCCAAACGTGTTCCAAAAGTGTTCCAAAAGTGTTCCAAACGTGTTCCAAAAGTGTTCCAAAAGTGTTCCAAACGTGTTCCAAACGTGTTCCAAACGTGTTACAAAAGTGTTACAAACGTGTTACAAAAGTGTTACAAACGTGTTCCAAAAGTGTTCCAAACGTGTTACAAAACGTGTTACAAACGTGTTACAAACGTGTTCCAAAAGTGTGTTTAAGGAAGTCGCCGAAACTGTGGGCTCGTCTCCCAAAATCCGATCCAGTTGTTGGTAACATGTTCAGGTGACACGTCCACGGCCGCTTCGTTTGTTTCAGTCTTTATCCTCCTTGTATTTGACTTCGCAGGCTCTTTATTTTTCCTTGACGTTGGAGACAGGACGTTTGTACAAAATCGGATCCGTGTGATTCAGACTGTCGTTAAAAGATCAGATACGTCAGATAGGGTCAGTCTGAACGTAAACCAAGTCTAATAGAGGAGCTTCAGAAAATACTGTGAAAACACAACAAAAAGCCACAACAAACAAAAAAGCCACAAGGGAAATGACCGCAGGACTTTATTTTAATACAAACGCCGCAATAAATGCAAACTTCACAACACAAACACAAATGCCACAACACATTAAAAAGCCACAACACATTAAAAAGCCACAACAAACCAAAAAAAAGCCATAACAAACAAAAAAAAGCCAGAACAAACCAAAAAAGCCACAACAGAAATGACTGCGAGACTCTATTTAAATCCACAAAATAAAGAAACTTTATTAAATCATTTATTAAATATCATTAAAAATTTTAATGCAAACGCTGCAACAAATACAAATGCCACAACACAAACGCAAATGCCACAACACATTAAAAAGCCACAACACATTAAAAAAATCACATCACATTAAAAAGCCACAACGGAAGTGACCGAGGGACTCTATTTTCTAACGGACCGATCAAGCTGCAAGTGAAGAAGAAGAACGATAATGTGAAACGAATAATGTTAAATCAATAAATTACTTTTACTTATGTTTCCAACTTCTCCGTTCCTTTACTTTTCACGTTGTAGTTCTTCTTCTTCACTTGCCGCTTGATCGGTCCGTCGGAAAATAGAGTCCCGCTGTCACTTCCGTTGTGGCTTTTTAATGTGTTGTGGCTTTTTAATGTGTTGCGGCATTTGCGTTTGTGTTGTGTCATTTGTATTTTTTGCGCCGTTTGCATTAAAATAGAGTCCCGCGGTCATTTCTGTTGTGGCTTCTTTGGTGTGTTCTGGTTTTTTGGTTTGTTGTGGCTTTTTTTGTGTTGTGGCTTATTTGGTTTGTTGTGGCTTTTTTGGTTTGTTGTTTTGTTTTTTTTTTGTGTGTTGCGGCTTTTTTTGTGGCTTTTTTGTTTGTTGTGGCTTTTTTTTGGTTTGTTGTGGCTTTTGGTTTGTTTGGCTTTTTTGGTTTGGCTTTTTGGTTGGTTTTTGGCTTTTTTGGTTTGATTTTTTGGTTTGTTGTGGCTTTTTTTGTTGTTTGTGGCTTTTTTGTTGTTTTTGTGACTTTTTTTTGGTTTGTTGTGGCTTTTTTGTTGTGTTGCTTTTTGTGGCTTTTTGTGGTTTTTTTGTTTTTTGTTGTGGCTTTTTTGTTGTTTGTTGTGCTTTTTTTGTTTTTGTGCTTTTTGTTGTTTTTTTTTTGGGTTTGTTGTGGCTTTTTTGTTTTTTGTGGCTTTTGTTATTGTGTCTTTTTTTTTGTTGTGGCTTTTTTTTTTGTTGTGGCTTTGTTGTGCTTTTTTTGTGTGTGGCTTTTTCTTTGTTTTTGTGGCTTTTTGGCTTTTTTTTGTTAGGTTTTTTTGTTTTTTGGCTTTTTTGGTTTTTTGTTTGTTTGGCTTTTTTTTGTGTGTGCTTTTTTGGGTTTGTTTGGCTTTTTGTTTGTTGTGGCTTTTTTTGTGTTATGGCTTTTTTGGTTTGTTGTGGCTTTTTTTGTGTGTTGGCTTTTTTTTGTGTGTTTTTTGCTTTTTTTGTGTTGTGACTTTTTTGGTTGTTGTGGCTTTTTTGGTTTGTTGTGGCTTTTTTTGTTGTGTTGTGGCTTTTTTTTGTTGTGTTGTGACTTTTTTTTGGTTTGTTGTGGCTTTTTTGGTTTGTTGTGGCTTTTTGCGTTTGTTGGCTTTTTTTTGTGTTGTGACTTTTTTTTTTGTTGTGGCTTTTTTTGGTTTGTTGTGGCTTTTTTGGTTTGTTGTGGCTTTTTTGGTGTGTTGTCGCGTTTGTATTTGTTGCGGCGTGTGCGTTCGTTGTGATCCCTCTCGGCTTCCGTACCCGAAGGTGGAAAAGCGCCGTATAAAAACGCGACAGTTCCCATGACGACCGTGACGTGAAAAGAACGTCCGGTGTCGGTAACAGAAGCTTCTCAAAATGAAGAACTCGTTTTGGGAAAAGTGGATTATATCGGTGAATCTCTACACACCTCCTCCGGGATAAACTGATGAAATAAATGCTCCCTGTGCGTCTGTTTGGGCTTTGGCAACGAAACGGAAAAATAATCACCCGCGGCAACGTATCGAAAAAAAGAAAGTGAGAGCGCGAAGATGAAGATCAGCGTCAGCTTAACTTGAGTCGGTTTCGTTACTTCGTCTCGTTTCTGTGAAGATCTCACTCTGTATTCAGCTCCTGTGCTCCTGCCAACATCTGCAAATGTCAGGAGCAGACAGGAGCAGACAGGAGCTGACAGGAGCAGACAGGTGCAGACAGGAGTGAACAGGAGCAGACAGGAACAGACAGGAGCAGGCAGGAGCAGGCAGGAGGAGACAGGAGCAGACAGGAGCAGACAGGAGGAGACAGGAGCAGACAGGAGCAGACAGGAGCAGACAGAGAGACAGAGCAGGAGCAGCAGGAGCAAAGAGGAGACAGGAGCAGACAGGAGCAGACAGGAGGCAGACAGGAGCAGACAGGAGCAGACAGGAGCAGACAGACAGGGACAGACAGAGGAGACAGGTGCAGACAGGAGCAGACAGAGAGCAGACAGGCAGGAGCAGACAGGAGGAGACAGGTGCAGACAGGAGCAGACAGGAGGAGACAGGTGCAGACAGGAGGAGACAGGAGCAGACAAGAGAGAACAGTGCAGACAGGAGCAGGAGGAGACAGGTGCAGACAGAGCAGACAGAGCAGACAGGAGCAGGAGGAGACAGCAGGAGGAGACAGGTGCAGACAGGAGCAGACAGGAGCAGACAGGAACAGACAGGAGCAGACAGGAGCAGACAGGAGGAGACAGGTGCAGACAGGAGGAGACAGGTGCAGACAGGAACAGACAGGAGCAGGCAGGAGCAAAGAGGAGCAGACAGGAGGAGACAGGTGCAGACAGGAGGGCAGACAGGGCAGACAGGAGCAGACAGGAGAGACAGACAGGAGACAGGAGGAGACAGGTGCAGACAGGAGCAGACAGGAGGAGACAGGTGCAGACAGGAGGAGACAGAGCAGACAAGAGGAGACAGGTGCAGACAGGAGCAGGCAGGAGGAGACAGGTGCAGACAGGAGCAGGACAGGACAGGCAGGAGGCAGACAGGTGCAGACAGGAGCAGACAGGTGCAGACAGGAGGAGACAGGAGCAGACAGAGGAGACAGGAGAGCAGACAGGAGGAGACAGGTGCAGACAGGAGCAGACAGGAGCAGGCAGGAGGAGACAGGTGCAGACAGGAGCAGACAGGAGCAGGCAGGAGGAGACAGGTGCAGACAGGAGCAGACAGGAGGAGACAGGACAGGAGGGACAGGAGACAGGAGGGCACAGGAGGAGACAGGTGCAGACAGGGGAGCAGACAGGAGAGAGGAGACAGGTGCAGACAGGAGCAGACAGGAGGAGACAGGTGCAGACAGGAGCAGACAGGAGGAGACAGGTGCAGACAGGAGCAGACAGGAGGAGACAGGTGCAGACAGGAGCAGACAGGAGCAGTGATATTCGCTCTTCGTCCTTGCTGCGGTTTGACCCTGTCACGGTCGTTACCGACGGCAACGCGCCGAGATTATTCAGACACGAGAAGATGAGAGGAATAAAAGAGGAGAGGAGGAGGAGAGACAAGGGAGAGAGAGAAGGAGTAGAACAGAGAAAGGGAGGAAGAAGAGGAGGGGAAGAGGAGAGAGAGAAAAAGAGAGAGCAGGAAGGAGAAAGGAGAGAAAGGAGAGAGAAGGGAAGAGAAGAGAAAAGGAGAAGAGCAGGAGGAGGGAGAGAGAGAAGGGGAGGAAGAAGAGGAGGGGAAGATCTTTCTCTTTCTTTCTCACTTTCTCTCTCTCTCTCTCACATTCTGTCTTTCACCCTCTCTCTTTCTCACGTTTGTTCTTTCTCTCTTTCTCTCTATCATCCTCTTTCTCTCTTACTTTTGCTCTCTGTCTCTCTCTGCTTCTCACTTTCTCTCTTTCACCCTCTCTCCTTCTCTTTCTTTTATCTCCATCTTAGTTTGACTCCATCTTTCTTTACTTCAGCTTCGTTTAACTCCGGTTTAAAGCTGCGTCTGTAACCTTTTCGACGGAGAATCTGCTCGATGTTTTTCTCTTTTCTCTCTTTTCTTTTTCATTTTCTGATCCGTCTTTACCTGGAGCCGTCCACCGGAAGAAGGGATGAAGAAGAGAGGAGGAGGGAGGAGAAAGAGAGAAAGAAAAGAAAAGAAAAGAAAGAGAGAGAAAGAAAGAGAGAGAGAAAAGAGAGAGAGAGAGAGAGAGGGCGGAAGATTAAATGTCAGCAAATGTCAAGAGTAAATAAATCAAATATGTCTAGCTCAAGATATTTTTATTTTTTTTACAATTTATAATCTTTTCTTTTTCTATATTTTTTATTTATTCTTTTTTTTTTTTTTTTTTACTTTTTATTTATTTATTTAATTATTTTCATTTTCTCCGTTTCAGAGTTAAACTGTAGAATCCGGTTCACGGCCAAAACATTTTTATTTTTTATTTTTTTTTAAATTCGTGTTTCTTCTTTATTTCTTGGATTTAAACACAGATTTTCACCTCCTCTGCTCTCTCTCTCGCTCTCTTCTCTCTCTCCTTTATCACTCTTTTCCTCCCTCCCTTCCTTTTCTTCTCCTTCGTCTCCTCCCTTTCTCTCGACCTCCTCTCAGTCCTCCACTCCTCCTTCGCTCCCTCTCCTCTCATCCCTCTTCTCCTTCCTCTTCGTCCTCCCTCGCTCCCTCTTTCCTCACCCCTTCACTCTCCTCCCTCTTCATCCGTCTTTCTCTTTCTCACTTTCTCTTTTTCTTCCTCTCTTTTTCACTTTCCCTCTTTCACCCTCTCCCTTTCTCACTTTCTTTGTTTCTTTCTGTGCAGACAGGTGCAGAGACAGGTGCAGACAGGTGTAGAGACAGGTGCAGACAGGTGCACAGACAGGGCAGACACGTGTAGAGACAGGTGTAGAGACAGGTGCAGAGACAGGAGCAGAGACAGGTGTAGAGACAGGTGCAGAGACAGGTGTAGAGACAGGTGCAGACAGGTGTAGAGACAGGTGCAGACAGGTGTAGAGACAGAGACAGACAGGTGTAGAGACAGGTGTAGAGACAGTAGAGACAGGTAGACAGTGCAGAGACAGGTGTAGAGACAGGTGCAGACAGGTGTAGAGACAGGGTAGAGACAGGTGCAGAGACAGGTGTAGAGACAGGTGAGACAGGGTGAGACAGGTAGAGACAGGTGCAGAGACAGGGTAGAGACAGTGCAAGACAGGTGTAGAGACAGGTGCAGAGACAGGTGTAGAGACAGGTGCAGACAGGTGTAGAGACAGGTGCAGAGACAGGTGTAGAGACAGGTGCAGACAGGTGTAGAGACAGGTGCAGACAGGTGTAGAGACAGGTGTCTCTTTCGTTGGCAGGAGTCTCGGTGGGTCTTCCTCTCCTCCTCCTCTCACTCGTTCTTTCTCTCTTTCGTTGGCAGGAGTCTCGGTGAGTCTTCCTCTCCTCCTCCTCTCACTCGTTCTTTCTCTCTTTCGTTGGCAGGAGTCTCGGTGGGTCTTCCTCTCCTCCTCTCACTCGTTCTTTCTCTCTTTCGTTGGCAGGAGTCTCGGTGGGTCTTCCTCTCCTCCTCCTCTCACTCGTTCTTTCTCTCTTTCGTTGGCAGGAGTCTCGGTGGGTCTTCCTCTTCTCCTTCATCGCTGTTCCTCCTCTTCTTCAGATTTGTGTTCTTCCGTTTCTTCCGGAAAGTCCCAGATTTCTGCTGATGGAACGAAGAGACGAAGCTGCGGCCGAACGAGGTACAAGTACTACAAGTACTACAAATACTACTACAAGTGCTACTACAAGTACAACTATAAGTACTACTACAATACAATACAATTTCATACATTATTACGGAGCATTGTGCTGATCTGGGTGTTAACAGTCATGTTGTTAAGTGGTATTGGGCTTTTCTTACAGGGAAACAGCAACAAGTTAAGGTTAAACTCAGCGCTGTCAGATACTCAGGTCGTCAGCACTGGGGCACCACAGGGCTGTGTTAGCTCACCTCTTCTTTTCACTCTGTACACAGATGCCTGCAGGAGTAGACAGGTAAACAACTATATAATTACATTTTCTGATGACACAGCTATTCTTAGTTTACTCAGTAAAAGCACAGATGCCATCAGCTACAGGACAGAAACTGATGAAGTGGTGCATTGGTGTGAGGAGCAAAACCTTGTCTTAAATGTGGAAAAGACAAAGGAGATAATTTTTGATCCCAAATCTGTCGGGGACCACAGCCCCGTTAACATCAGGGGGAGGGACATAGAGCAGGTGACATGTTCTAAGTACTTGGGTGTGTTATTTGATTCTCAGCTCCAATGGTCCAGCAGGTACAGTCTGTCTGCTCAAGAATCAGCCAGCGTCTCTATTTTTAAGACGGTTTAGGTCACATGGAGTTGACACCAATGTAATGCTGTTGTTTTATAAAACATGCATAGAATCTATCTTACGCTATGGCATGTCAACATGGTTTGGTGACCTGTCAGTCAAACTTAAAGCACAGATTTTTACCTTGACTAAAAGAGCAGGTAAAATAATGGGTGTGGCCCCAAGCTCACTTCAGCTAATGTTTGAGGAGACTGTTGAGGAAACTCAGCAGGAAGGTGATCAATGACCCAACCCATGTTCTCACAGTCAGTTTGAGTTGATGCCATCAGGCAGAAGGTTTCAGGGTCCAAACTGTAAACTGAACAGATTCAAACTTTCCTTTGTGCCACAAGCTGTTAAACTGCTAAACTCAGATAATGCAGTCAAAAAATAATTATAAAAGGCTTAGGGATTGTGTAATCAAAACTGCACATAGGCTTAGGGAATGTGCAATAATTAATAGAACAGAAGAATGCAAGGGCCTGTTAAGGATAATTTAAGGTCGTGTTGGTGCGTCACTCGTGGTCAGACTCGGTCTCATATTTACTTTGTTTTATGGTGTTTGTTTATGTGCTGCTTTGTGTTGTGTTGTTCTGTTTTTTGATAAAACATGTGACCCTCTGTCCCAAGACAAATTTCTCCCATGGGAACAATAAAGGATTATCTTATCTTATCTTACAAGTACTACTACAAGTACTACAAGTACTACTACAAGTACTACTACAAGTGCTACTACAACAAATACTAAAAACACTACTACAACTGCTACAAGTACTACAAATACTACCACAAGTATTTCTGCTGATGGAACGATGAGACGAAGCTGCGGCCGAACGAGGTACAAGTACTACAAGTACTACAAATACTACTACAAGTACTTCTACAAGTACTATTACAACTACTACAAGTACTACTACAAGTACTACCACAAGTACTACTAGAAGTACTACAAGTACTACTACAAGTACTACAAGTTCTACAAGTACTACTACAAGTACTACTACAACAAATACTACAAATACTACTACAAGTACTACAAAAACTATTACAAGTACTACTACTACAAGTACTACTACAAGTGCTACTACAAGTACTACTACAAGTGCTTACTACAAGTACTACTACAAGTACTTTTACAACTACTACAAGTACTACAAATACTACTACAAGTACTACTACAAGTACTACCACAAGTACTACTAGAAGTACTACAAGTACTATTACAACTACTACAAGTACTACTACAAGTACTACTACAAGTACTACTACAAGTACTACTACAACAAATACTACAAATACTACTACAAGTACTACAAAAACTATTACAAGTACTACTACTACAAGTACTACTACAAGTACTACAAATACTACAAATACTACTACTACAAGTACTACAAATACTATAAGTACTACAAATACTACAAATACTACTACAAGTACTTCTGCTGTTAACTGAAAATGAAATAAACGTATTTACTTCCTCTCCTCTTCTGTCTGTCCTCCTCTCTCTCTTCTCTCTCTTCTCTCTCTTCTCTCTCTTCTCTCTCTTCTCTCTTTTCTCTCTCTCTTTCACTAATCGTTTGATTCTTTCGTTCTCTCGTGTTTGTTTTTATCGTCAAGGTTAAATTTCTCTGACGACACAAGTCTGCAACAACACCCCTCCTCCTCCTCCTCTCTCCCTCCCTCCATCTCTCCTCCTCCTCTCCCTTCTTTCTCTCTCTTTCTCTTTTCTCTTTCTCTTTTCTCTTTTCTCTTTCTCTTTCTCTCTCTTTCTTCCTCATCATCCCTTTTCTCTCTCTTCATCAGAATAAACTCAACAGAACAGGACGTCCACCAGACTCCGCCGCACTCCGCTGTATTCTGGTCCTGGTCTCGGTCCAGGTCTCAGTCTGGTCCCGGTTTTAGTCTAGGTCTGGTCCTGGTCTGGTCCTGGTCTGGTC